CTCCAAAATTTCGCCGAACCGCCATCTATGAACAAGTGAACGCATTGGTTCTTTTTATAGCCAATGCCGAGTGATATATAGTAACTCCGATACGCCAACCCTTCTTAGGTGTTAAGGTCTCTTGACCAACCCAGATTTAATTTGTCCCCAACGCCATAGGCTATGCACACATGAGTATGTATCGAACGTAAATTGAAACAACCAAACAGGTCGCATCCGGCTTGACGCCTCAGAATAGGTCGTCAACGTCCATCTTACCGCCTGTCTGCCCAGACGCAGCAGCTAGGGCTGCACCAGCTGTGGACACACCCTTTGCCATCTTATCCTCTTCGACGAACACGCCCAGCCCAGAAAAGGCTTCGAAGAGAGCTCTGCTGAGATACTCTTCGGCTGAGTAGCCTCCGGCCTTATGTTCGTCCCGTCTCCTGACACGATCCAGGTTGTCGCTCTTGTACTCGCTGAGTTTCTCGTTGGATAAATCGATCCTCGTTGTCCTCATATCCAATCCACCGAATGGATCATATGGCTTGTTATCAACGACCTGCACCTTCTTTTCTCTAAGACCGCGAATGGACAGTCCGCTCCCGCCAGTCGCGGCGGCTGCTGCATCGAGCACTGCGTCCCGTCGCTGCTGCCCACGCTTCCTGAGCAGGATCTTGTCCATCGCCTCGCCCGCCTTGCCGGCCTCGGCACTCTGCAGGGACGTGAGCATCTCCTCTCGGAACCGCGCCGCGCTGGCCTTCTCATCCGCCTCCTCCTGAAGCTCCAGCATCCTCCGCTGGCGGGCCGCGTCCTTCTCGGAGGTCAGGCGCTTCTGCCGCGCGTCCTCGGTCTCTCGTGCGAGGCGCTTGTTCCTCTCAATGTCGGCCTTGTGTTGGGCCTCCCACTCCTGCAGCTGGCCCTCGGCCTTCTTCCTCGCATCGTCGGTGCCGTTCACGAGGTCCTCGGTCAGGCACTCCACCATGTAGAGGTAGTCGTTGTAGGCGTCCAGGTCCTCGAAGTCGTCCTCGACCTTGTTGAAGATGGCGGCGACGCGGCGGCGGATGTCGACCTCGCGCTCGACGGACAGGTCGCCGAAGAAGGCGGACTTGAAGCCGCGGAGGCGCAGCGTCTTGTTGCAGCCGGCGTAGGGGCACTGGTTCGGGCCATCCTTGAAGATACGCTCCACACAGGTCTTACACATGCGGTGGTAGCACTCAGGGTTGATGCGGAACTCCATGTCCCTGTTGAAGTAGCGGGTGGTCTTGCACACGGGGCATGTCTCGTCTTCGTCGAGCTGGGGCGCGGTCGACCCGCCGTGGCGTACCGAGACGGCGCCTCGAGACATGACTGCAGCTTTTCGCTTGGTGGTCGAAGCTGAGGGTCTGAACGGGCGGCGAGGGTGAGCTCGGGTGTTGCAGGATAAAGACCCAGGCGAGGCTGGTTTGCAGACAAGGAAGCTTGGACCAACTAGCTGGGGGCAGTCTAGGGTGGTATTTATTAATGGCAAAGCACATTCTAGATTTTAGGCGGAGGGCGCTAAGATCTCCGCGTCCCACCTCCCTGTACTATGTAAGCATTGCCCCTCCATCTAGCCTGCCATTGTCTCTCCAAACCATCCCACCTGCATCAGAGCCTCCTCACAAAAATCATGGCTGACAAAGGTGTGTAGGCCTCGAAGTCTCTCTGGGCTGGTATTCTTCTTAGAACTATATCTAACAGCTAATAGAACCCAATCCCGCCGAAGACGCCGCCGCCCGCGCCAAGGAGGCCGAGGAGCAGGCTGCTCTGCCTTACAAATGGAACCAGCAAATCTCTGAGCTCGACATCACGTTCACCGTCCCCGGTAACCTCAAGTCGAGGGACCTCGTCGTCGATATCAAGAAGAAGAAGCTTTCAGCTGGTATCAAGGGACAGGACCCAATCATTCAGGTTCATAACCCCGTCCCAATGTTGCTGCGTGCCGACTGGAGCTAACATGAACTGCTTTCTAGGGCGACACTCCTCACGATGTGAACACCGAGGACTCGACCTGGACTCTCATCACGAATTCGGACGGAACCAAAACTGTGGAGATCCACCTCGACAAGGTCAACAAGATGGAGTGGTGGGCTCATGTCGTCACCACGGCTCCCGAGATCGACGTCACGAAGATCCAGCCCGAGTCCTCCAAGCTCTCCGACCTCGACGGCGAGACACGCGGCATGGTGGAGAAGATGATGTTCGACCAGCGCCAGAAGGAGGCCGGTCTTCCTACCTCGGACGAGCAGAAGAAGATTGACATCCTTAAGAAGTTTCAGTCCCAGCATCCTGAGATGGACTTTACCAACGCCAAGATCAGCTAGATGAGCTTCTCTTGTATTTTAGGTCCGGCGTTTCCCATGTTTTTAATCATAACAAACATAACTTGTATCATGACGGTCATCTGGATTCGAGTGCCTGTGCTGCTCGTTCCAAGAATGCATTGAAATCCTGGACCTGGTGGAGAATTCCACCGCTCCCACTTGAGGAGCTGACTTGATCTGTTAATTGGGCGACGAGGAACTCGAGATTCGAGAGCTCGGCCTCTTTCTGGGCTTTTCCAGATAGTTGTGGCGCGTCTTGTCCTTTCGATACAGCCATGTCAATGTCGTACATCGTACTTGATGTGTTGAGCAGAAACTAGGGTCTCCAATTAGCGGTCAATAAGCTAAACATTGTTTCATATGGATGACTCACGGTTGCTTCCTTGTTGTCTGCTTCATACTTCGCTCTTACAGCATCCATCCGAAGAGCGACCTGCTCCCTCTCGCCTTTGATGCGAAGAATCTCCTCTCGTAAAGCAAGTTTCTCTTTCTGAGTCTGCCGAACCCGCTTTCGTAACGAGTGCCAGTGATTCAGGTGAATAGCCTAAGACATCAGTAAATAGTCTACCCAAGGTTTCTCCAACAAACTTACATGTTGTAACAGGCGAGATTTTAGCACCTCGCGATAGGCTTCAACAGCTCGAATCTTGATGCGGAACTCTTTCTTTTTCGCTGCATCTGGCGCATTCTGAGCATGCTGTTCGAATTGGCTCAGTGTATTGCCAATGACTTCTTCGCAAACTTGGGCGAAGACGTCGACCGCATTTTCGCGGCTGCTGTTTGCGAAGGGTATATCAAGTTGCAGCGGATCGATGTCGTCCGCCTCTTCGTCGTCGTTCCTACGACGCTTTCTAAAGTTGACGAACCGTTGCACCGTGACTTCAATGGCGTTTTCTCCCTCGCCATCGTCCTCAACGCTGCCCTCATCGCTTTTACGTCGAGCCGCGGAGGATCGCCTCGGCTTGGGCGGTGCCGTTGGGCGAGGTTTTTCGGGTTTCTGTTTTTGAGATGTTCGTTTCCGTGGCTTCTGGGCGGGTTGCTTCTGTGTGGCAGGACTCTTGTTGGGCTTCCCACGTTGCCTCCGGGGAGCAGGTTCGGGGACAGGTTCGGGTGCTACTTCTTCTTCTTCCTCATACTCGTCTTCGTCACCTTCTCCGTGGTCTCTCGATCCTAACTCAATGGACCCAGAACGACGACTTTGCCTGGGGCGTCCCCCTCGTAGGGCCTTTGCTGCCTCTGTCGCACTGATCTCTTCTGCTTCCTCCTCTTCCTCTTCCTCCTCTTGATCGTTGGGAGTTGATGCTTCCTCCATCTCCCCGGGTTCTACAACACTCCCGAGCTCCCTACTAGGTGATCTCTCTTGTGCTTGTGATAAAAGCTGGCTTGCGATCTCATCAATCTCATCAAACTGCAATTCTTCCGTCATTGACAACCTGGAAGCCCTCCTATCCGACAATGCAGCTTCACTTCTCCGTGATTTGCGCGTAAGGGGTGATGAGGGCATACTACTGTCGGAGCCCATCTCATCGCGCAATCTTGCGCTCGACGCAAGCGCACTGCTGACGGCCACGGTTCTTCTCCGTCCGCTGCCCGGCTTACTGACGGGACTTTCTTCTATTTCTTCAACAAAGGAGGCGCGCGCGCGGCTCGGCCTTCCAGAGGCCGAGGTACTCGATGGCTCCGGTAGGACTTCCAGCTCGTCCGGCTCGTCCTCTGGCTCCCCTTCGGAATCGGCGACATGGTTTGAATTCTCGTTTCGAGGGCTTGGTGATCCTCCTGTATCCCTCTCTCCCGCCTGTTCGCCGGTCGTTGCGCTCGCATTCGCCGGTTGTTCAGAATCCTTTGAAGTATTCGATAGATCGTATGGGTCTTTGGATGCGCCGCCACTCCGATCGCTCGAGGCGGAATTCGGTGCCTCATCATTGAGCCTCCGCCTCTTCGCAGATGAGCTCCCTGGCTGGCGAGGGGACGACGGGGGCTGGGGGGCTGCGAACACGGCAGGATCAAGACCGGGTATGTCGAGGTTGAATGAGTCGTCTCCAAGATTGACGCGCCTAGGAACATGAGCGACCACATATTACTTCCGGGTAGTTATTTCTATTCTCTACTTACTGCGCACCACGAAGACGGTCGTTGAGACGCTCTGCGCGAGCTTCCCGAGCTATTGGTATGATAAGCAGAGGGACCAGATAAATTAGTTGGGGATTTACCTACCCGTAGCCATCGCGGACGAATTGCGCCGCTTCACAGAAGCATATATATATTAAAGCGCCAAATCACGGCTTCTCGAGCCGCATGCATCAGTCCTGCTATGAAAATGACCGTTGCGCGCATACAGAGACAATGACGTTGAGAGAAGGAATGGATGTTGATGGATCCAATTAGACGCGTTGAGTAAGACCGCCAGACGCGTTCTGGTGGGAGCGGATGGCGGGGCATTCCAGCACCTGTGGCCAGTCACACTTCACTACACAACCAGCACAACCGCCTTCAATACGACATGGCAAGCGAAAATTAGGGTCGGAAAAGGACAGTAACAATTCAATTCTGGGGCTTGCTGTAAAATTCATCTTAGGTATGCTCCGCGTAACCGTATTTGTATCCATGATCCCATTGAGCCATGTCGCCATGCAATCCTTAACGCCGGTGGAATAGTAACAAAGAACGAGGGTCAAATCACCAGTCAGGCTGTGCTGCTAACACCCATTGTTCTTGGGTCTCGTCGTATGTGTGGCTGTTCGTGGCTGTTAGATTGTTTTCTGCTTGATCCAGTGCGGTTAACACTTACTCATTGAAGAACTTGTTTGTCAAGGCCTTGTCTCCATACTCGGCCGCCAGCATTTCCTTGTAACTATACGGAATCTTCACTGGCACACCCTCGAAGGTGGTGTCACGTAAGGGGTATAGATAAGTGTCCTTTTGAGCACAGTTAGTCAGAAAAGCCATAGCATTTCAAGACAGCGGTGTCAACATACCCGATACTCGTGACCATTCTTGTCAAATAACACACCCTCGCCCTTCTCGTGGTTGATGGCGTAGCGCGCGGCGGTAATGTCAATATAGAGACCTGACGATGTATCTATCCATCTTGCATCGATGACATTCTGTCTGTCGTCGGTTTCTCGATGTTTGAAATGCGGGTTGATCTCCAACAAGAACAACCTGCCTTCCGGTATCTCTTCATTCTCAAAGTAGAAGGTTGACATGTTGTAATAAGCCGCAAGGAAGAACATGTCGGCCTCTGTTACCTGAACATCTGCATCAAGGTCCCAGGGCATAATCTGTTAAGCTGTTAGGACACCTGTGTGGGAAAGGGGGGTTGTGAGATGGGTCAACATGCCTTGCGCCCAAACCACCATCCTAATAAACTTCCATGCATGAGCCAGGTCTGTTTTCAAGTAGTTAGGCAAGAGAATAGCTATGTAGGATATAGTTGAGATAGGCACGAACCTGAATACCCAAGCTTCGAAATGTTGATAGGTATGTTTGTACCAAACCTCTAATGAGGACCTTTTGATAATCTTCTTTGTATTGGTACTTCATAAATCTGCTGTCATAGTGGGAATTTTTTCTTCGATCTTCGGGTTAGAATATGTTGCCCATCACGCAGCCTTATGCAGATTGAACAGTGGTACCAACTTTGACTCATCTAAGCAAAATTAGCATATAGGTCTTAGATATGTTGGTTCATGAAAACCCACGAAAATACTTGTATTCTGGGAAGTCGGGCTTGTCAGGGACTTCGGCTCTCTCGACAATGCTTGCGCCGGGTGTGGCGGGCATGGCGGCGCCAGTGGTGATACATGCCGCACAAAGTACAGACACAGCCAGCCCGAGGGCCTTCATCCTGGGCTGAGGGCTTTCGTCTGGATCCTACGACGACAGCCAGGCGTGGCGCACACGCTGCTGCTTTGGGCTGGATTGGCGACCGTGATCCGAGAGTGCTTGCGGCTGTTCACGTACAATCACAGCCAAGAAGTCCCTTGATGATTAACGACGCTGGGCGCCAAGAAGCCTCCGTGAGTAAAATGACGGACTGAAAGGCCCAGTAAACAAGCGGACTAGGCGGGCGCACAACTGCGTGGTTGGCAGGGTAGAATACGGACTTGCGATTGAGAAGCAGGCTGCGACAGAGAAACACATCAGTTACGTGCACAAGGGCAGAAATTTAAGCACGGTGAGACATGGCCGCGAGCATTGAGCTCGTAATGTAATGTCTGACATTCAGCTGTGACACTGATTGTAGCATCTAATCGGGACCTCTGTGGCGCATGCAGTGGGTTCCATGTTATACCTTAGCTAGTAAATCATCAGGGGAGACCGGACAGTCCACGTCACTCTCCACACCTTGTCTGCAGGGCTCAAATCTGGGCTGTCATTCCCTCAACTCCATTGCCTCCCTAGCCGCCCAGCAAGCCAACATACCTGAGCCACTGTGCCAGGCATGCAGTGATCCATGCTGCCTCCAGCGGTTCACGTTCGGACAAACTAGAAGACAAAGGCGAGATGGGAATCCCTTGTTTTGAAAGGTACCAGACCTCACATCTTGTTTTTTTTCCTTTTGTCGTATGTCGATGTCGTATTTTAGACACTATTCCCACTAACGCACATACTATAACCTGTTGCTCGTGATTATTGACTCTGAGGAGCTTGTTTACCTTGTACCTGACCCACGAACCATGTGCGCCCTGCCCGGGAAGTGGGAACGCCCTTGCTTGGATAAAGCTAGCAAGGCCTGTTTTCACAGATGCCAAGAGCATTCATTAAGCAAGTACGAACTCAAATGCAAGGGAGCAATGATAATTGGCTTTGTCCCAATGCCAACCCTAGAGATGCAATGCCATCCTTCAGGCTGTTGCGAGTTATCTGGTTCGTGTTGTGACATTTTCAGGTGGTCGGATGCGTTGCTTTCTGAGTATGAATCGAGTTGGTTATTTTTACTGTCTATGATTGATGTTCTTTACAAGCAAGATATCCTATGGCCAGGCTACACACGTGGCTCGCCCTACACGAGGTCTTCTCAAACGCAATTATGGTCCATACCTGAACCTAATATATAGAAAAGCCATCGAAATCAACACCTATAGACTAGGTACAGGCATAAACGCCTCGAGAAACTCGAAAAAGGGCCAGCTCAATGTATCACTGGGCCATGGCCCCTAGTTAATCGATAGCTTGCATGTGAGCACGTCAGGAGCCAAAACAACTAAAACCCACGTTAAGCAATGTGGCTACTACCAGAGTAAACCTAGATCCCCACGTCATGTTGAAGTTTCGAAGCGAAGCTTAGGTGCTCTTTAATAAAAGAGCCATACGCGACCTTCTAGGGTACTTGGGTACTTTAGGTTCGATATGTCTAGGGTAGGTAAGAATATTGCAAGAGGTGGGTCCCTGTACAAGCTCCAAATGCTGACTCATCCGAGTCGCGCCTTCGATCCGTCATCTCCTCAAGCGTGAAGTTCACCCTCCAAGCAAACTCGCCGTGCATCGCATCTTCGCCTTCTTAATCGTACAGCAACGCCCCGTCGAGCCCCACTACTATTTAACGTTGCGATTCAGGGCTACACAACGAAAAGGATGGTCTAGGGCGAGCGACGCCTTCCTTGCTGCCTGGAGGAAGTTCGAGGGAATGCGCCTACCTACTTAATCAATCATGGCGGACAACAACCAGTTCACGTCCTTCGACGAGAATGACTGGAAAGCTCAAAATGCGGCAGACGATAGAGAAATCGCGAAACTTCTAGAGCAGAGCCAAGATGGAGCATCGGGCGGCTTGAAGCTCGACGATACACCCTTTGACCAGACGAACAAAGCCGATGATGCGGAGGATTTCGAGGACATCAGCGATGACGACCTCCCCGAGGAGGAGCCCAGCGCAAGCACATCCGTGGAACTACCTGGGTTGACCGACGACGGCGAAACTAGTAACAACGACGCGGATGATCTTTTCGGTGAAGGCCCATCTTCGCCAACCGACCCAGTCCTCGGACCCCCATCTCCTGCCCCTCATGTACGGGATGCCGATGCCGCCGATGAGACTCAACCGAGCGAACCATCTCCCGTATTCCCTGGCATAAATTTCGATCCCGAGCCACGCTTGACAGCGAACCAAGATCCTGATATTCCCGCTCCTGCTGAGACTGTCGAGGATTTACTCAAGGCAGCATGGCCTGCTTACAAGAAAGGGTGTATTCTTACGTGGAGTGAGCTCTTGCCGGCAAAGAAGGCCATCTGGAAGGAGAAGAAGCCCCTCAAGAAGCCTAAGCGTCTCGTCACAAGCAAGCTGACGCTTGAGCTCGACCAAGATAGTCTCACCCACTTTAGACTACCTGGCCCTCCAGCGACGTCTCGAACAGATGGCAACGACCACAAGGGGCTAGTTTTCTGTTACAGCGACACGGTGAAAGAAGAGGAGGATATTGCTCAGTTCGATATCGATCAAGTAGACGAATCAGAAACTGTCATGGGATTCACACTTCGCGATATCGAGATGGCCTGCGAAGATTGGTACACCCAGATAGGGGTGATTGAAAAAGACTTTGATATTCTCGAAGCCGAGGAGCGGAAAGAGGCGACATCCAGAAAGCGGCTGTTTGAAGAGGAAGACGATGATGAATGGAACGCAGAGTTCCTCATGGACGACGTGGTGGACGCTCCAGCCCCCCCAAGAAGCGCAAAACGATTAAGCCTGGCCTCCCAGAAATCCCGCGATACACTGCCCCGTCCTTCGACAATTTCGAAGAAACCACGAGACGAGGTGCCAAACGAGTGCAGCTTGACGCATCCGACCCCCACCTTCTCATTGATCCTCAAGAATCCCAACGAGTTGCTAAGCGCCCCCGGCAAGACGGACCTGAAGGCAAGCATGTTCCGAGTGGGAAGATCAGTCGCAATCTGTTTTCGCGATTTAATATGTCTAACGATGACGCATACGAACTGCTCAAAGAAAACCACCAGAGCAAGGTGCGCGCTACACTCGGAAACATTTCCGTGGAACACAGTATGCCTGCCATCAAGCTCACCTGGCCATACTACAAAGTCAAACTTCCTGGCACAACGGACGAGTACCATCGCCCACGTTTCCGATACAAGAAGTTTGTCGGCCAGTCCATCAGGTTTGAAAAGCCAGCCCATTTCAGAAGGAAAGAAATGCGCAAGAAGATTTCAGAGGTCTTCAAGGACTCCAAGTCGCTCAGTATCAGCGACAATTCTACAGCGGTTTTGTTTGAATATTGTGAACCCAGACCTAGGGTGCTCAACAATTTCGGGATGGGTAGCAAGCTTATCAACTATTACCGTCGGAAGGATGCCAAGGACGACGAACAGCTCCCGAAACGAGAGCTCGGGGAATATCGCATGTTGCTGCCCGAAGACCGATCGCCATTCTCGTTGTTTGGAACCGTTGACGCTGGTGAGACGGTTCCTACTCTCCATAACGAAATGTATCGAGCTCCAGTATTCAAACACACTCCTCGAACTACGGATTTTCTCATAGTGCGCAGTACCACTGGAACAAATGGATCTAAATGGTTTATCCACAAGATCGACCACCTGCATGTCGTCGGTCAGACTTTCCCTTCGGTCGAAGTACCAGGACCCCACAGCAGAAAGGTTACCAATGCATCCAAGAATCGCATGAAAATGCTGGCGTTCCGTATGATTCGGCACAGCAAAACTGACAATTGTCAATTGCAAGATATCACGAAGCACATTGCAGAATCCACTGATACGCAGAATCGCCAGAAACTGAAAGAATTCCTTCAGTACGATAGGAGTGGCGAGAAGGGTATGTGGCGACTGAAGCCGGGGGAGATTCTTCCCGACGAGAGCTCTGTTCGTGCTATGATTAAACCCGAGGAGGTGTCACTGCTCGATGCCATGCAGCTAGGTATCAAGGAGCTCGAGGATGCTGGGTACGATCCCAGAAATGCCAACTTCGACGATGATGTTCAGATGGCGGACGCCGATGCTGAGGAAGGCGACGATGATGATGAGGGCAGTAAGATCGTGAAGGCTGCAGCAGGCGGGAAAAAGGCTGCCCAGCAAGAGGAGACACTTGCGGATAAGATGGCTCCTTGGAAAACTACCAAGGCATTCATTGATGCATGTGCCCAAAAGGCGATGCTTCAACTCCACGGCGAAGGTGACCCTACAGGCCATGGCCTTGGGTTCAGCTTCATCCGTACATCTATGAAGGGAGGCTATATCGAGGCCGTTCAAGGCCCGCTCGCCACATCGGCGGACGCGATGGAGCGAGAAAAACGCGCCAACGGTGGCCATGCGTACAATGTCAAGAAGCAGCAGGCCATGTACGAGGAGGGCATCCGAGAAATTTGGGAAAAGCAAAAATCCACATTGTCAGATCCACAAGAACACGATGACAATGATATCGCTGTGACGGAAGATGAAGACGACCGCTTCAACGTTCACTCAGCGCCGACGCCTGCTCATATCGATGACGGCACGAGTCAGATAAGCGGCTTCACGTCCTCAAGCCGCCACGCAAAGCGAGCGATTAGAATCACTCGTGATGTTCGTTTAGCTGACGGATCCACCCAGCAACGCACCGAAGTTGTCTACGACCCTGTTGTCATCACGCAATACATGAAGCGGAGAACAGAGGCTGACCTGGAACTAAGAGAGTATGTCAAACAATCCCTTCGCTTCGCAACATTGTCGCGAAAACCACCTCGTATCTGGCGGAAGCTACCCGCTTCTGTCAGATCACTCCATAGGTCGGCTTTTCTCGCAAAACAATGCATCAGGACCAAGTCCACATATGGCCTGGGAACACCAGGCTCTTCTAGAGATATTGTTGGCCTTGCATTCCGAGCGCCTGCTTACATAAATGTCTTTACAGCATCTACAGCTCGCGGCCCACTGGCAATGCCGACCATGACCGTCTTGCAGGGATTAGGTGAGCTTGAGACTATCTCCCAATGTGTTTGTTTGGCCCAGTTGTTAACATGTCTACTCTCTCTCAGAATTAAGCAGGAACTCGCAAGATTGGAAAAGAACAAGGCAAGACGCCAAGCCCGAGAACAGCAGAAAGAACTCCACCAGCGAGCGAATGCCCCTGGTGATGCTGGATCCCCCGGCGCGGTCGCTTCCGGCGATAAGATCGTTACGGGCACAACCCGGAAGTGTGCCAATTGCGGCCAGGTGGGACATATCAAGACAAACAAAAAGTATGGAACCCCAACCCTTCTCCCCACCCCCACGCTCGTCATTTGATTGGTGGAGTGTCACTCTCCCCGAGGATGAGGAGTTGCGTCTGTCCAGAAAGAAGTCCAAGAAGAAGAGGTTACCACTCATGGTCCACTCGCTTCAGGAATCGGACAAGCAAAAGAAGAAAGACAAGCAGAGCCAGGCCCCAAGAAAGAAGCCTGAAGTCAAACAAGGTTGCAAGAAGCGCGCGCCGGATGCTCCGCCATCCAAATGGCAGCTCAAGAAGCAACGTGCGAAAGAGCGTCTCGAAAAAGCGAACAAAGAGAGACAAGAGCGAGAAGAATTGCTGAAGCTGAAAGAACGGCTGCAAAAAGAAGCTCTACAATACAAGTCAGAGTGGGCAGCCCACGATGAAGACGAAGACGCTCTCCAACCATTAGACTAATCTCTCACCATCATCCACCATATCACACCACACTCGCACCCAACTGCTGCTCACACATGGTGCTTCCACATTTACTGACTTGCTCAAAGGTTATGCCCTCTGCTTAACGGTACGATGAACACGGATAACGGTGCTGCGGACCACGGAGGTTTCGGTTCGTACAACGCCCCTGCAGGTACGGCTGGTTCTCCATGATCACACATTTTTTTTTGGGGTCACATGTGGTGATACATGGTGGATGGAGAGATATGTTTTAATGGATTTGGGATGGTTGATGATATCTAAGACACCAACACAAACTCCGGTGTTTATTCTTTCTCTACTTGTTCATGTAGTAGAAGGCTGTATTATTGCGAGGATCGATCAAGCATTGGCGTTTGGGCATTCAAAGGAAAAGGCAGATTGGCTACATGTTACCAACCATACTAATGAGCCGCGGGGAACAATTGACAGCTGAAGATGAGACGAGACGATCGAGCTTGACGAGTGAGAAAATAGGCATAAACTCGCTCTAGCTGCGTAGTGGAATACGAACAATTTGGCATAAATACGAGCATGATCTACGACTGGGTGAAGCATGCAAGCATTTTACTTCGCCTCAGACGACGCTTGGTGAGCGAGCCACCTTTTTGGGGAAACTTCTACGAGAGGTAAGGGCCGGGCTGCATGTACGTGTGCTACGTGCTACATGCTACGTAGAGGCCAGGTGCCGTGTGTGTGCTGCGCTGTGCAATGCGGTGAAGTGCTTCGTTGCGTGACCGGGTTGGCGGACAATTAGAGGGCGACAGTGTTGCCTATTCCACCCTTTGTTTCATCAGAAAGCTGTGCAAAAGTGGGCTAATTACCTGGTGAGCTTGGCACTAAAGGCGTGCAGGGGTGCCTAAAAATAGCGCAAACACAAGCTTGGAGTGTGCAGGTGGGTAAATTTCGAATGCGACCCTGACAGAAGGCTGGTGTGGCCAATGGCGGGCGGGGGACGGCCTGCAGCTAGAGAGGCTTTGCATTAAGGCCGTCATGCCAGTGCGGATGGTGATTGTTGGGACCTGATGAGACTGCACGCTGGCTGGCTGGTCGGTGTGTTTGTGTGTGTGGGTGGGAGAGGAGAGGAATATGCGCGTGGTCGTCAACGATCGGATCAGAGAGGTATTGTCCGGGCGCTTAACTGCCCCTCACACCAGGGCAAATCTGACCCAATCCGGCGGCGGGTTGGTGCTGCGGCCGTGGGCATTGGTTTGCGAAATTTTGTGGTCCTCGTGCACGATGAAACGTCTTGTGATAATGCGATGCATCCCAGGCAGGTCTGTTGGTCCGAGGGAGAGAAGTGGCCGTGGAGGCGGAAAGGGCATGGAATCATCGGCGGGATGAATGCTTGTCCGGCGGATCTGCGCAGCGCAGGATCCCGCCACAGCTCCGGGTTGCTCTGTTGCCCCTCCTGTCGCCTCCTGTGTTTCTCTTTTGCCAGCAGTGGCGGGAATCTTGGGACTCGACCTGGGCAAGAATAAAAGGTGAGTGATGTGGTGACAGACATCGGTTATCTCGATGGGTCTGGGCGGTGGAGCCACTACCAGGCAATTTGTATTCTTAGTAATATGGCTAAGCCGGATATGGACATAAGGCAATGGGATTCCAGGTGGAGAAGGTCGCTGGCCAATTAGACCATGTTGCGGGAACAGAAGATTTCGAGGAGACAAGTTGTTCAGGTGAAGGATGCGCAATGCCGGGAGAGACGTGTGCCGCCCAATTAATTTGCAAGCGCGTAAGCGCGATGATTGGACAGTCTCGAGGCCATCAAGGCATAGGCACATGAGTAGTGCGCGACGGGTAACGCAGGCAGCGCAACGGCCGGCGCAATGGATAAGCTAGCCCGGGTCACCATCATCGATCGTTAGATTGATTGATTACCTGGTAGAAGGTACGAGCGCTGAAGGTTCGCCGCAAAGGGACAAGGTAGATCTATCCGCCGCCGTGGTCTTTTTTTGGCTACACATTGCCACGGCGGCGGGAGGAAGTGGCAGAATGCCGGTGGCCGGTCAAGGCAAGGCTCGGGATGGGGAAGAGCGCCTTCTCCACGTGGTTGCGAGAGGTTTTGCTCATGTCTCAGATTGGGAAATTTGGACTTTTCGATAAGCTGGTCCCCTCAGGTCGGGAAGGCTAGGCCTCTGGTTGGCTGGCGGATCAGCTGGAGTGCAGGGCTTTTGGGGCTGTGAGCTGAGAGAACGTGTGACGGTGCGCATGCACTGTACGCGTTCATGTACTGTGTGTATGTAGGTAAGCTGAAGCACAACAAGGTTGATGGAGGTTCCAGATGGGCTGTACGATGATGACTGCTTCTGTGCAAGGTACCTGCCAAGGCCACCGCATCCCATGACATTGTGATGTGGCTGCAGTGGTTTGTTTGCAGGTTCGCTTCCCGCGCATTTGTTCAACGGGCAGCGTGGAAGACTGCATAGGAGCGTGTGCTCGATTGGGTGTGCTCGTGTGCATTAGTACTATCTAGACCTGGATATTATAGGGAGGGGCTAATTGATGTAAGGTCGAGTAGCGCGACGTTTTGAGCTCAGGTGCTGGAGTCGACAAAAAGAAAAAAGCTATCGAGATCTGGTCCGTCATGGTGTCGTACTCGCCAGATGCCTCGCGATATATTGTCTGGGTGAATCAATACTTCCCAATCTCAAGGTCGCATCCAGAGCCTGGGTGGAATTAATTCTCCATGCCGTACCTAATATGTATTATGTGAGGTTAGTAGATTGATGACCTGACGAACTGACACACTCCAGCAGAAACCCTGTCCACCACCCTGGCATCATTTTGATGAACAACCCTAGCCCTCTAATATGGAAAAGACTCCGAGCAACCGATTCCTTCGAGCCGTTTGCGGAGGACAATCAATACCAAAAAGGCCCTATGGTCCCGATGTTTCTGAGGCTTGATGCTATGTAGCCCCAGTTAGCCGCCCTACAATTTAGGGCACCTCATCTCTCCTGCATACATGCAGCGTCGCAGAGAAATCACAGCGAGATCAGATAAAGAAGTGTGTATGGGATCGAGCGTAGCTGGTAGGTCTCCTGCAGCACTGCCACCGCGAATAAGCTAGGCGTGTGTGCGTGGGGGATGGGATGGATGGATGGCAGGTGACGCATCAAGTATTCAGAATGCTCGCTTTACCGCTGGATGGGTGCGGAGGTGAATTCAGAGATTGGTCCATCGTCCAGCGACTGTCCAGGGGATGGACAGGCTCTTCTGGTGTCGGCAGTAGAGACCACAGTTGATTGTACTAGCTGCATGCCTAGAAGGACTTTAGGTTAAGATGCGCGTTAGGTAAGTTTCCCCCGGAGCCAGGCCTAGTTGTCGCTGGAGCTTGGGACTGGCCTAAGCTTGGAAGCTAAGGCTGAAGACAACAGGCGACTCGACGACGGTATAACCGTCGTGGCCAAAGCTTAAAGTCGAGAGAACAAACAGAAGATATCTCGACCAAAACCCAGGGCGAGGAACAACCCGCGCCAGGGTCCAGCTCTTTTGATTACAAGTACCTACATTCACTGCACACCTCGTGGTGAGACCGTGAGACAGGTACCTCGCCTGGTACCTTCCTACCTTAGGGCAGTTCCCCTCTCCCCTCTCCTCTCGTCTGTAACGTAATCCGGGTCGCGCTAAGCCCTCCGCTCATTTCGCACTGTGCAGATTCAGTACCTGCCCCGAACAAGCTGGTACCTCGCTGTCGGTCTGCATTAGGTGGGCCAGGGAGGTATTTTGGTTCAAGGTTGACCCCCTGCCCGTTAGCACCTGAGGGGGACACTGGTGTCCACCTGCTGGCCCAGCGTCCAGCAGCCAAGGGTTTTTCCGGTTCCCACACCGTCCCGCCCTCTTGCACTCTTCCTTTTTTCTTTCCCCCTTCTAGTTTCTCAACTGGCGAGCATGAGCACAATCCGGATCATCTATTATTAGAACATTCAACGCCAGATTCAGCCCCATTGTCCTGCACCACCACTCAAACCACAGAACACCATCACTTAAGCCTCGCTACAAGGCCCTCGCACAGAAGAAGTCGCTGCTTGCCTGGGTGTTCACCTGCGCAGAGCCCAAATCCTGTCCCTTGTCTCCAGCGCGCATCAGAAAGCTGGCCTGGTCATAAACATCCGGGATCCCGCCTACTTCCCCCTACCGGCCCCGTCCACAACCACCCACAACTCTTTCCCATTCCTGTCTTTTCTTTTTGCCTTTTCTTTCTCATTTCTATTTCTGTCTCTCCCCCAAGCCTCATCATCATTTGTCGCAGAGAGTCCCAAACCACCCCTGCCCGCCACACTCGCTGCCGCTTGTGTAAAACCAAGTCTCTATCCGAGCCTTTTGGAAAGCGCGACCAACATATCCGAACTGGCGCGACTCATCCTTTCATCGCGGTCGACCCTGTCGCCCATTCGCACGACCTAGGCCCGGACCTTTGGTCGCCGGTCGCCCTTTTTATTTCGCTAGACAATCAACCGTCACTCGCGACGACACACGTACATACGCCGCAAAGATGGGTCGAAGAAAGATTGAGATCAAGGCCATCAAGGATGACCGCAATCGCTCAGTGTATGTCGCGTCCACCCTCTCCCCATCCCCAATTGCCTGTCTGGTCTACTGACACAACTTGTTCCCCAGAACATTCCTGAAGCGCAAAGGCGGTCTTTTCAAGAAGGCGCACGAGCTGTCCGTGCTCTGTTCCGTTGACGTAGCGGTCTTCGTCTTCGGCAACAACAAGAAGCTGTACGAGTACTCGTCAGCCGACATGCGTGATCTGATTACTAGATACCAATACGTGAGTTCCCAACGCGTCGCACAGGATCGCAGCCAATGCTAACAATGCGCGAACAGCACGGTGGTCCAAACGAACACAAGGGTCCCTCGGATTTCAATGGCGGCAACGATGATGATGACGACGAGGAAGGCGATGGTACCCCCCCTCAACCCGAAGGACTCGAAGCGCACTTGATGCCCCCGCAGTACCACAACCAGCCGCACTTCCCTCAAATTCGCCATCACACACCTTCAGCATCTCCTCCTATGCCCCAAAATGGTACATTTCCTGGACATCCTCACCACCGTGGACATACACCGCAGCCTTCGGTTGGATCGCGACCTGGTTCGAGGAACGATGTTCGTCGCATGGGACCAAATATGGCGCCTCCTCAGGGCGGCCATCCAGGCATGGGCTACATGCCAACGCCTCCCCTTTACAACAACCCTCACGGTCAACCCGGTATGATGCCTCAACAACAGCAGCAGCCTCAGTATCCCTACGCACCACCACCGCCGCCACAGCAGCAGCACCAACCTCAGCATCAGCCACCACCACACCAGGGACCTCAACATCCGCCGCAGCACCAGGGACCACCACATCAGGCACCGCAACCACCTCAGCAGCAGCCACAGCCGCCTCAACATCCAGTCTATATGGAAGAAAGACGATCCTCTGTGCCTCCTCCTCCTTATATGTCACAGACTCCCCCTCAGCCTCAGCCGATGTCCATGCCTCCCGCTCGTGCTGAGCCATCGCCCCCTCAAGCACACCTCGCCCCGCCCCAGAACGTGCCTCAAATTTCCACGACTCCCCCTGAGCCGGAACGACGAGAGCTTCTGCCTCCACCGCCACCGCCCGAGATCAAGAATGAGCCCATTGATCGACCTCAGGTTCCTCTGTTGAACACGGACATGGCTATCAAGAAGCTCCCAAGGAAGTCGCACAGCATCTTTACTCCGATCGAAGAAAACCGCTCGCCTCTCTCGCAGCACTTGGCATCTTTCGCATCTGAGCCCGCTAAGTCGGAATCTATGGCCGCTGCAGTTGCAGCTAATGCTAACCGCCCGCACTCCGTCGATGTGACGTCTGCTGCCCGTACCTCACCACCCCAGAACCGAGCCAGGACACGGACTACCTCTGTCTCATCTGTTACCGAGACGGTTTTTACCCCTCCCTCTCGATCCAATAGTTTCAAGACGGGTCCGGGTTCAGCGAGCGGAGCACGCCCACGGGGCCCTCGCCTCACAGTTCAGATCCCTGGTGGTGGCTCGGAGCCCAACAGCGCTGTTTCTGAGTCCAATTCACCCAAGGGTGCGACTGAGAGCACGTCTCAAACATCGCAACAACAAAGCTCGCATTCATCTGGAGTAGTTCTTCCACCACCCTCGCCCTCCGCCGCCTCGGCACTTCTGTCTGCTGGAGCCACGGGACCACCAAACCCGTTCGCCCGTCCGCTCCCTCAGCAGAATATGAATGCTGAGACACCAGCCTCTGCACTCCCCTCCCGATTTCTTGGTACCGAGTTCCTGCCCAGTCCGAGCAGTTTCTACAATGACTGGAACTTTCGCAATGGTGACAACACCTTGCCTAGCCCGTTGAACTTTGCAACCCCAGTTGCAGGATCGGGCCCTAGCTTCTTGAGAGAGGAGACTAACTTCAACTCGAGCACTGCGTCAACCAGTGCCCCTACAGCTGGAGCAACTACTGCCACAGCCGGAGCAGGGAAACGCAAGAGTATCGGGGACGAAGAGAACGATCACAATGAGAGTCACGACTTGACCACTGATGCCAAGAGAGTCAAGGTCAACTAAGATATTTACGGATGCCATCTTGTTCTGATCTTATGACCTGGCCGTTTTCCTCTTCATTTTACTGCATTTTTTGAGATACCACTTTATTCTGTTATTCGCTCTTCTCTGGCATACATAACCAAGTCCTACGACTTTTTTTATTTGCTTGCTCTATCGGCGTTTTTCTTCTAGATGTGGGACTCGGATGTCCATTCCTTCTTCTCTGCTCCTCTGCCTGAGTTTGGTGGCTCCTACGGAGTCGTCTTTGGATCACATTGCTTCCTTCTCTTGAACGGGACCGTTCCTGTCAGAATGAAATATACCTGGTCCTACTTTCACAGCACTCACAATGTGTTGGCTTGCACTCGGCTTTGGACTCTTCTTGCAAATTATTATCTAAATTATTCATTCATGGTTGGACGTTGTATGGACTGGGATGCATTTGCAGGCAAACACCGAAAACTTTTTTTTCGTTAGGTAATGTCTTGGTTGATGATCACTGAAATTTAGTGACAACATGGGAGGCGTTCTGAGGAGTTCAAACACGGTGTGGTGGTAATTTGAGTTTCGTGTTTCCATTTGAGTAGACTTTTGATGTTGCACTATTGGCGAACAGCTAGGATGGTATAATTGAACTCGTTTTTTTTTGCTTTACAACAATAATCATTACTCGTGATGGTCTTAACGTGATAGACTGCCTCTTTTGGCATGGCTATTTATAGTTTGAGATGGTTTACGTGTATGAAGAAGATCTTATCTCAAGTCTGGTCATGGACAGGTGCTCTGAGATGAGACCTGGGAGCTGGAGGGTTTACTTGATTTGCCAAGTATCTGTATTAAGTAAATACGATCTCTAATCAGAAAGCGAGTCTCTATTGTATAATGCCAAATCAACTGTAGTTTAAAACACCCTTGAGGATCCACTAAGATCTGTTAGCAAACTTCTCCAGACTGCAAGGCACACATCCCAAAAATAGAACGGGGGATCATTTTAGACTCACGACTTCCCCGTTGGCCACCTGGCTGGCAACGCGGTCAACCTCGACCCCGTCCGGCATGATGACCCTCTTGCCGTCCCTGAGCTCCCACCACAGCTCCCTCGTCCGGCCGCTCTCGCCCTTGAGCGTGCCCGCCTTGTTCTCCTCGCCCTGCTGCCACGGGCTGGCGGTGACGAGGTGCGCCTCCACGAAGCGCCGGAGGTTCCGCTGCGCCCTCTCGCGGCCGTCCTCGCCCTCGTACGCGTCGGCGCCGGCGGCCTGGTAGTCGGCGGGGCTCTCCCAGGGTTTGCGGGGCAGGGCCTCGATGGCGGAGTTGAGGGGCGCGAGGACGGTGGTGTTTGTGTGGAGATCGCCGAGGAGGGACTCGGTGGGCTCGTGGAGGCGGACGAGGGAGAAGAAGGTCGTGAGGGAGCGCTGGGTCCCGAGGATGTCCACCAGCGGGACGGCGGGCTGCTTCTGCGGCTGGTCGGAGGCGGTTGGAGGCATTATGACGGGGAGGAGCGGGTGTTGTGGTGAGGCGGCCGACGATGGGGTTGTGAGGTAGAGGAGGCTCGAGAGGAGGAGTAGTGGCCTCATGGCTGTTTGGTTTATGCAGAGCGTTTGGCAACAAGAAAGTTGGCAACGTGCAGTCGTACAACACTTAGGCAGATCGACGTCATTCAGCTTGTGGACTGCTGATAGCCCCGCGGACTACGACTGGGCAAGAAGCTCACGTGTAATATCACGTGATCTAGAATAGCCAATTATGCCGTCGGTATTTTCGCCGCAGTCAGCATCGGGGTTCTTTCCGACGGAGACGGCCGTTTCTTTTGGCTACAGTAATGGACTAATTATCAGACCATGTTTTGTAAAAATCAATTGGAGTCGATGCAGGGGTCTTCAGGGATGAGATTCACGATGCTCGGTTCTCACTGATGGGTGGTTCTGTCGTCATGCGTTTCGAGGACAACTGATTTCATTAGGGGATGTGAGAATGGCCTTTCACATGCTTCGACATGTGGCCAATCAGGAGGCCGAGAAAGCTGCTCACGAAACGGAGCGAGTCAGATGGTCTGGGGGACTCGTGGGGGAGGGGCCCTGGACCTAGCGCGGATGTAGAGGTACCTGGTTCTCCAAGGGAGTCGTCACATGCCATCAGAAGGCCCAAATGGCACACATGCTTAGTCTTCCCCGGCTTATTATTGCAGAATTGGATTCAGCTGATGAGGAGAATCCGTATTTGAAATTCGCAAATTAATTTTCGGCTGGTTTTTGGGGTCATGAACAGCATTTGATTGTTGGACGACTTCGGTCTTATGCAGCCCGGCATCATGCCATTTCGGGCTATCAGACAGCGAGAAAGTCACTTGGTTTGCTACCAATCGCAACACCTAGCACAAAGAGCACCCAACAGGATAGATACGCGCGATATCGGGGAACCTGGGGAAGACAGGACAAATGGAGATTTACCCCCCTGGACTTTTTTTCCAAATGCAACAGCAAAAGGGTCTCAGCTGGTGCTCCCCAACTGTGGGGACCGGCGACAGAGAACAGAAGGCAGGTAGGTCTCCACGCAAGTACCAGTACGGCCTCCCTAGTAGCAGTTGGAGGCATGGCACTAGCGGGCAGTGGAACTGGGGTGGCGTGTAGGCCGAACGCAGGCTCCGCGAACAGCGAAGGGCAGGTACCTGGGGACGGCCGAGGAACATAGATCTCGCAGGCTGCCTGACTCGGCAATTGCCTCAGTGGCCGGGCTCGTCGTGACAATGGGATCCTGGGGAATGGGCGCGACGGGCTGGGGTCACGCAGAACGTGCCGTGTGTTTGTAGCATGGTGCCATGGGGTGGATAATGGAGGTGCCTCGGCTAGTGCAGGAGCAAGCACGGATACGTACCGCCCGCAATCCGTCCGCCTCAAGTTGGTCCTCGGCGTAAGCTCCACGCTTCCATGGACCGGGCTTTTAATTCATTCATTAGCCATCGACTGACCTCGTTCTTCCTTCTCCCCAACTCATCCGTCTCCCTCACCCCTTCCCCCAAACACGTCGCTCTATCTCGATTTTCTGCTTCCACGATACCTCATTTGATATTTGATATTTGATATTCGACACAGACATGGCTCCCAGCGTGATTGTCGTGGGTGGTGGCCGTAAGTTTCGCCCTTCCGTTCCGTCGCCTTTCCGTTCCGTCGCATAGCGTCGCCCTCACAGGTGAAGCATCAGACGATTATCCCAACAGCATACTGACAGCTTAATTGCATACAGTTTCCGGCCTGAGTGCAGCGCACACTATCTACCTCGCCGGTGGCAACGTTACTGTTCTGGACAAGCAAGGTGAGTTCGTTCCGGGTCTTCCTCCGCCGGTGGCTGCGCTACGTCATGTGAAAGAGTCCATGATGGTGGTAGCCGCCACTAGTCGGCTTCACATGTTAGAATGGCCTTTGCTGATGGCGATGGTTTCTGGTACAGGTTTCTTCGGCGGCAACTCCACAAAGGCCACTTCTGGCATCAATGGTGCCTTGACAAGGACGCAGGTCGAGCAGGGCGTCGCCGACAGCGTCAAGCAGTTCTACGATGATACACTCAAGTCAGCCCGTGACAAGGCCCGTCCGGACCTCATCAAGGTCCTCACCTACAAGTCTGCTGCCGCTGTCGAGTGGCTGCAGGACGTCTTCAACCTCGACCTGACTCTTGTTTCGCGGTTAGGGTATGTACATGCTTCGACTCCCCACAATTCATTTACACCAGTCATGAGTCGATCAGGCGATTAACCGTGCATCAGTGGACACTCCCAGCCCCGAACACACCGTGGTCATGACGCCAAGTTCCCCGGCATGGCCATCACCTATGCCCTGATGCAGCGTCTCGAAGAGCTCTCCGAGAACGAACCCCACCGCGTTACCATCATCAAGAAGGCCCGTGTGACCAGCCTGAACAAGGAGGGAAACAAGGTCACCGGTGTCACATATGAGTTCAACGGAGAGTCTCAAGTTGTTGAGGGCCCTGTCATCCTTGCTACTGGTGGCTACGCCGCCGACTTCAGCGAGACCTCGCTCCTGAAGAAGCACCGTCCTGATACCTATGACTTGGCCACCACCAACGGCACCCACGCCACTGGTGACGGCCAGAAGATGGTCATGGCCATTGGCGGTAACGGCATTGATATGGACAAGGTCCAGGTGCACCCTACCGGTTTGGTTGACCCCAAGGACCCTGGCTCCAAGTGGAAGTTCCTTGCTGCTGAGGCTCTCCGTGGTGAGGGTGGTATCCTTCTCAATGCCGATGGCGAGCGCTTCTGCGACGACCTTGGACACCGTGACTACGTCTCGGGCATGATGTGGAAGGAGAAGGACAAGGGCAAGTTCCCTATCCGTCTCGTCCTCAACTCCAAGGCCTCAAACGTCCTTGACTTCCACACTCGCCACTACTCTGGCCGTGGTCTGATGAAGAAGATGACTGGCAAGGAGCTCGCCAAGGAGATCGGGTGCACCCCTGAGCACCTCCAGAAGTCCTTCCAGACCTACAACGCCATCGCCGATGGCAAGCAGAAGGACCCCTGGGGCAAGAAGTTCTTCCACAACATGCCATATGACATCAATGATGACTTCCATGTCTCCCTTATGGAGCCCGTGCTGCACTTCACCATGGGTGGCATCGAGATCAACGACAAGGCCCAGGTTCTCAACCAGGACCAGGAGCCCTTCGAGGGTCTCTACGCCTGTGGTGAGCTGGCTGGTGGTGTTCACGGTGCTAACCGTCTCGGTGGTTCATCTCTGCTGGGATGTGTTGTATACGGCCGTGTCGCTGGTGACACTGCCAGCAACTACCTCTTCCAGAAGGCCCTCCAAGGACAGACTGGTGCCGCCCAGCGTCTTGGCCAGATCTCCCTGCACCTCGACCCTTCTTCCCCCGGCAAGCTTACTGTTGAGTGGGCCAACGGTGGCTCCGGCTCCGGCGCCGTCCAGGCACAGGCCGCTGCTCCTGCCGCTGCCCCCGAAGTAAGTGCCCCCGCCAAGCCCGACCCCAAGAATTTCTCGGTCCCGGAGAAGGAATTCACCATGGAGGAGGTCGCCAAGCACAACACAAAGGGCGACCTTTGGGTTGTCGTCAAGGGCGTTGTCATGGACCTGTCTAACTGGCTGGAAGAGCACCCCGGCGGCCCCCAAGCAATCATGAACTTCATGGGCCGTGACGCCACTGAGGAATTCGAGATGCTGCACGACGACGAGGTCATCCCCAAGTACGCTCCGGAGCAGGTCATCGGCCGTGTAAAGGGCCAGGAGGTCACCCTCGAATTATAAGGGGTAAACAACCTAATCGCTCGGGTTGAGGATCTCTAATGAGGAAGATGATGGACTTACTGCACATAAAATGAGGCTCTTGGCATTACTATGATGGTCATGAGACGATGGGATTGGCCGATGCGGCTGTTTGATGGGTTCTTTGGGCGCCTGGTGTGCTATTTATTGGCTTGCCACTGTACGGATATTGCTTTAGATGTCGAGTTTCATATTGCCAGACTATATAAAATGATATATATTTCTCAAGACTTTCTTCTCGCTTTTCTATGTTCTGACGACAATGAAGTGGTTGCCAACTACGCATTTCTGTACGTGCATGTGGGAGCAGAGTGCAGATCATTTTAAGCGCCAGACTGTCTCACCTCACACCTTCAGCTTATTAAACCTGCATAAGTGCTACATTTCTTACCCCCCTCCTCAATCTACAAGTCATTCTTGAGGGCGCAATGAACGTAGGTCAACTATCCCATACAATTCATAGATTAGAGTCTTTCTGTAGTGCCTCTTTCCCATGTTTTGAGTTTGCATTGGTACGAAGATTCCAGTCTTAAGATGGTTGACTACACCCTTCCTCGTCACACACTGTGATCGCGCTTGTGATGTATACGCCACTGCAGCATACCATTGCACACAATAATGCATCTGTCTTCCAATAAGAGGTGATATTGTAGTGGGTATAAGCAACAGTGGCTTGCCAAGCTTGCGTAGAAGCCCAATGTCGGGCCATGAAAGTGCAACTCAAGGCAGATCAGCAGGCACACCTGCAGTCTGACACGGCTCAGCCGAACCACAGTAGCTAAATAGCGCTATTAAGGCAGATTTGAGGAGTCTACTTATGTAATTACGCGTTATATTGGCTATGGCAATGGGCCGCCATCGTTTCCGCTTGACCTAGGCAATGTCTCCTTTTCTATTGAAAACTACCCTTCTAATCATCTGTGTCGACACCTCTTTTGATATCAATACTCTGCCTGGAATTTACCTACCAAGTATTCTATCTACTCTATCTGAAGCTTACTCTATCAATTACGTGAGCGCCATGGCAAAACTGGCAAAACGAAAACGACCATCTCGGGATGAGGATGCCAGCCTGAGCGAAAGCCGAAACAACGAATCGTCCACCAATAAACGACCCCTTCGAGTTAGGGAAGACACTGAATTTCCTTCAAAACCGAAATGCTTTAGAATTGAAGAGATTCCTACCGCCGTGACAGAAGAGAAGCTTCAGCGTCAGCTGGCTCCGACTGTTGATGGGCAAGAGTCGTCCAACCTTCATCTGACCCTTGCTCGGTCATTCGGCAAGTATCAGACTGCAACCTTTATGTCAACCGGTATCCCAAGAAATTTGGAATACCCATTTGATTCGGAATTCATCGGCGTAACCCCATTGTTTGAGCCAAAAGATGCTGAAATAGAGTATGAAAAATCCCACAAAAGATGTAAATCTCAAGCTAATTTGCGTAGCATTATTGCAGTTCATGGCCTAGGCAGCCATGCCATCGGCGGATTCAAAAGTAAAGGGACCAGCCACGTTTGGCTACGTGACAGCCTCCCACACGATATCCCCAATAGTCGAATTCTTCTCTATGGATACGATTCATCGATCATGAACCAAAATCATAAGATATCAATCCCTGGTTTAGGGAAAACCTTTTTGAACTCTTATAAGACCTTTCGGAAGGATACAAAGGTATGTGAAGTTTCTTTGCCTCGGCAGCCACCATGGGAGTCCTAACATTGCCCAGACGACTCAAAGACCGATCATCTTCCTCGGTCACAGCCTCGGTGGGCTTCTGATCAAAGAGGTGTGTTGTATTTTTGGCTCCTGCTCTTCAAGTCAACTAATATGTTATAGGCACTGTGCATCGCCTTCGATGGTGAGGGAGATGCTCCAAACAGGGACTTTTGCAGGTCTTCATACGGGCTGGTGTTTTTTGGTGTCCCAAATCTGGGGCTAAAGCACGAAAACCTCAAAAAAATCACTGGTGAACGTCCAGCCGAGCAACTCATACACGATCTCTCGATAGACAAAGAAACAGAGCCGACGCCTTATCTTGAAAGCCTTAAATCCAGATTTATTAGCTGTCATAAAAAGCAGGATCCGCCAATGAAAATCATATCATTTTATGAGGAGAAGAAAACTCCTACTGTTACAGTCCGTTGGTTCACATTCTACTTAGCTACCGCCAAAGAGAATTTTACTAACAGCCAGCCCAACTGGTTAGGTTGGTAATGCTGGGAAGCCGAAAAGAACAGGTGAATCATGCTTCATGGTCACAAAAGAGTCAGCGTGTCGGATCGGGTTTGAGGACGATACACACAGCCATCACCCGCTGCCTCTTGATCATTCCGATTTAGTCAAATTTGTGCGTCACGCGGATCCGAGTTACAGGATTGTCCAAGATAAGTTGAGAGATCTTGTTCAGGAAGGTTGTGATTTTGTCCCTAGACGGTTCCAATCAGATATCGGTATGTAGAAGTAATGCTACTATATTGTTTGCCAGAAATTTAACTTGTTATTACAGTACTCTCTGAAGAACAGAAACGACATTGGGATGACTTGAATGTCCCCGACTACCGAGCATTTTATGAAAATAAAGAAAAGCTAGCAAAGCCGGTCGAAGGATCACTTCAATGGCTAGTGAGCAAGGATTCTCAAAGACCGCGAGGCGAGAACAGCTTGCAATACGAAGACTTCGAGGCATGGAGGGACAACTCAACACCATCTTCCCTTCTAGTGCTCGGACCGCCAGGGCTGGGAAAGTCAGTGCTGTCAAATTTTGTGGTAAACCACATCCAACAGTTTGCCAAAACCCGGTGCAACAACAAAGTCATCTTCTTCTTCTGCAATATCAAGGATGACAACAAACGAACTGCATCATCAGTTCTCCGGGGTTTAATAGTACAGTTATGCGGGGATAAGAGATACTTTCAGAAACTCCCAAATCGATTTCAAACGAAGGGGGGCTCTGAAGCCTTTCGTTCAGCCGCCTTTGATGAACTCTGGCGAACCTTTGATGATTTGGTGCAGAGTGGGCAACATAGTCGGATCTTCTGCGTTATAGACGGGCTGGATGTGTACGAGACTGCAGGAATGGAAGATCTCGTCACCAAGCTGGGAGAGATGGCAGGGCGATGCCCAATTTGGCTGTTCTTTACTAGCAGGCCCGATGGCCCAGTGGGAAACTTCACGCCGGGAACAAAACGAAACCTTAGACAACCCAACCATGACATCGAAGTATTTATTACGAAACAACTGGAATTGCTGCCCAAAAATTTCGACAAATTTCACACCGACATTCGCCAGGGGATTTTGGACGAGGCAGGAGGCACATTCCTTTGGATCCACATCATATTAAGGGAGATTCGCAACTTGAAATTTCCCAGCCTCAAAAATATCAAACAAGTCATCGAGGAAACGCCCCAGGAGCTTGAAGATCTTTACACTACCCTCTTCCAGGCCGTCTCAAGAGGGAAACATGCTATCGCCATTCTAGCTTGGGTGACATATGCCAAGAGACCACTTTCTTTGGAAGAATTAGAAACAGCAGTGGCGGTTATGATCACTAAAGGCGGCCGTTGGGAGGATTGCCTTGAGGAGAAGGTTTCTCTTGATGCTGACTTAATCAAAGAGAGTCTGGGGACTCTGATTGATGTTATTGATGGAAAGCTGTTTCTGATCCACCAATCATTATTAGACTTCCTAAAAGGCCGACCTGAAATATGGTATGAAGGAGATTTGGAATTGCAGCTTCCGCAACCGAATATCGAATTAGGGAGAACCTGTATGAGGTACTTGAGTTTTGGCGATATCACCATTCGAAGAGATGCCATCTCAGTTGAGGGAGATTGTTCTGACAAAGAAGGGTCGATCTTCCTTCGATACGCCGCAAGATATTGGCATAAACACATAGAAAGCATCGATAACGTGAAAGACAGCATCAACCTGTTACAAAGCATTGTTCTGGGTTCAAATCTTAACCACTGGACACAAGCGCAAGATAAAATATTCCCGCATCCTTTCTCTTTCTCCCATAGGATGTCGATATTTGACATCTGTCTTAAGTTTGATATTGGATGGCTTGCAAGTGGTCTGGCGGATCCAAGTATCCCAGAGCTTTCATACAACTTCTCGAACCATCACCTGACTCAAGCTGCTCTGAGGGCACCGAATGTGCTTAAAAATTTACTGCAAAATGGGTTTCAGATCACGCCTGAGATAGTTGAAGTAGCAGCAGGGTGCGTTTATGGGAAGGAGGCGCTCGAGCTTCTGCTAGAGGAGAGAGGCGATGAGATTCAGATCACGCCTGAGGTAGTTATGGCAGCAGCAAGGAATGGCTATAGGGAGGTGCTTGAGCTTCTGCTAGAGAAGAGAGGCGATGAGATTCAGATCACGCCCAGGGCAGTTGTAGCGGCAATAGAGAGTGAATATGGGACGGAGACGCTCAAGCTTCTACTAGAAAAGCGAGGTGATAAGATTCAGATCACACCTGAGGTAGTTATAGCAGCAGCAGGGAATAGTCCTAGGGGGGTGCTTAAGCTGCTACTAGAGAGGCGAGGCGATGAGATTCAGATCACACCTGAGGTGGTTATAGCAGCAGTAAGGAATGGTTATAGGGGGGTGCTCGAGCTTCTGCTAGAGAAGAGAGGCGATGAGATTCAGATCACACCTGAGGTGGTTATGGCAGCAGCAGTGAACCAGTATCAAGAGGATGGGCTAAATCTGCTGCTAGAGAAAAGAGGCGACGAGGTTCAGACTATACTGATATCAAGCAATCTTTACAGCGGGAAAAAGATACAGGAGATGGGAAGAGACGAGATATTAGAGTTGTGCAGAATAGATGATGGGAAAGGTGGCTAGTCCTGAGAAATCAATTATTATGAAGTCAATATTAGTAGATAAGGCGATCAAATTACGTAGAAAAGATTCCACGACATGTGGAGAGAGACTGTAGGTAGACTATGGACAAGTCATGAAAAGGATAGCAATGGCCCGGCTTCAGGGGAGGATGAAGCTCAAATCCTGGGTAAAAATGTGTGTTCCATTCCTTTTCGTTTCTTTGATCTTAGGAATGAAGTTCGCCGGGTTGAGAATTGAGACCTGTCGTTGATGTGGCTGATGCTACTGTTCTATCACACGTCCTAGTTTGAAGAGTTGGTTTGAAAAAGGGGGCTTAGATGTATTCCTAAGTGGTTGGAGTTATTTCAATAATAGCTAAATCTATATGCACACCCTCGCCGCTCTCTCAACTATAGTTTCCCTTAATCCATCGTAGATTAAGATAGAATCAAGGAGCACTTGTGTTCCGATGGCACTGCACAAATCAAGAGACGTTAGCCTTGGCTATCTGTAAGTTGACACTTTCACGGCGCCACGTACCAATCGTCCTGGCTGCAATATTCTTCAGGATGATGGCTAACCCCATCCTTGCAAGGAACAAATATCATCGTGGTCGGGCATCGCTTGCTTGTGCCCACACTGTCGTGACCAGCTCCGCTCGCAATGTGAAGCCAGCCATCAGGCCCGACTAGAGAGCTTGCCGCTTGTTCTACAGCTGAAATGCACTGCTTGTTAAACACGGTTGCGGGGGAGTTTGTATCGAGAGTCCATGAGATATCAACTCCAGCACCGTCCTCTTGAGCGATATCTCGAAACGACTGCATACAATTCTGTTCTATCGCTGCGACCACGCGATCGTCGGGGTGTCGAATATCAAGCGAGAAGCTGATCTCTGATGGGACTGTGTTTGTAGAAGAGTCGATTGGCATCTTCAATACCCCCGTGGAAGCGAGGCCGCCGAATTTCTTGGCAATGGCGTTTGAGGAGGCGATCATTTTCGAGGCGGCAAGCAATGGGTCCCTCCTCATTTCAAAAGGCGTGGTTCCTGTGTGGGCATTCCGACCTGTGAGAGTGAAAGTAAACCAACGGTAGCCCTGAGCTCCAGTCACGACGCCGATTTTCCTCGCCGTCTGCTCCAATATGGGGCCTTGCTCGATGTGTAGTTCGAAATGTGCCCCTAATGGGTAACCATTCACTGGATCAGAAGAACAACCTACTTCCCCAAGATAGCCATGTCTTTCTAGTTCGCTCTTCATTGTAACAGAGGGATCGGAGATATCTTGAAGAGCCCAGGCTTTTTCAACTGGAATATCTCCCGCCCAAACGGCTGAGGAGACCATCGATTTCGGAAACCGTGCTCCTTCCTCACTGATACGATCAAACGTCAGTTACAAATGTGTAATAATCTGCGGAAGAAAACAAAAATGGAAGTGAATGAGGTGGAAAGCGGTGCTACACGGGATGAGAGAGAAGCAAGTGTCACAAACTTTGTCCAGTTAACAACACCGACATCATACTGTGTCTGGTATCCGTTCTCTTCCATTGTTCTGAGTACTTCGACGGCGGCTACCACTCCCAGGATACCATCATATCTCCCGCCTCGAGGCTGGGTATCAAGATGGCTCCCCATAGCTGTCATTGGGGCAGAAGAACGCAGGGCGCCTGGTCGTCGGGCGAACATATTGCCCATCTGGTCAATGGTAACTTTACACCCGAGGCGTTCTGTCTCCTGGCGGAACCAGCGCCTGACTTGTGCATCTTCATCCGAGAGCGCTAGACGGCTCATGCCGGTCTCAGTGGGCTTCCTAAAATTATAAATATCAACGTTGGAAGCTCAAATTTGCTATGGTGTGTACTGGCTTCAGGTTCATACTCTCCATATCGATTGGCGGCTCCCCATTGACAAGTGTAGTGCAGAGTCTCCTGGAGCCGCTCGGAATTGATCTTTAGCTGTGTGAGGCATTGGCGAGTGGTGGAGAATTTTCTAGGAACGGAGAAGCGAGTCTTAACCCTCAAACAATTGATGGTTGAAAGCATTGTACTTGCTGTGATGCTGGGGAGAAAATGGCTGAACCTGAGCAATGAGCCTGTAGAAGGGTTATGAAGGCTTTGGCGGCCTCGACAGGCGTTTTACCATTTATGCAAAGCTGAATTAAAGGCTTTGATTATCCACAATCCCATTCGCTAGATAAAAGTCATGAACATCGTATCCGATATGATTGGCATCATAACTCCGCCAATCATGACGATTGGGTGAGTGTGTGAGAAAGGGAAAAGCACTGTGCCATCATCTTTCAAGCACATAAAATTGGGTGCAGATCCGCTAACACACGGTGCGAGAAAGCAGCTCATCATCCAAGGGCGTATCTTCACATCCGGCGCAAAGTTTTGTGAAATGGATCACGCCCTTATTTCACCACTGCATTAGCCTTGCCCTGCTTCTAGAACTATGTGAAGACGACCGCCAAAGCGATCACCCTTGGTCCTGGCTTGAGTGAATGCACGCTCCTTCTCCCCTACTATGGCCGACGACTTCATCTGGGATGACTCCGATGGGCATCCCTCGGACATTTTTGGCTTAGACCTCTCGGACTGCATTTCCTTTGACTTCGGGGGCCAGTACCCAGAAGAAACTTCTTCAACTGGGAACCATGCTCCATATTCTGGATCAATCGGAGGCAACCAGGATATAACCCGCTTGGTCTCCGGGACTCGAGAAGGTCATGACACCCTAGGCAGGAATCAAACCGACACCGCCGCAGATGGATTACACTTGATATCTAGAAGCCCATCTGACCCAGTGAAATCTAAGAATGAAGGCGAAGGAGAACTAAACGAGCCATCTGAAATTGACACAAGGAACACACTGCTGACACCGTTAAACCTGGCATCAATTGACGAGATGCCTCGACAGTTGGCTAAGGAGGATAAACAACGCCCTGTAAGGTTCTCCGCCATGTCCGTGAAGACTCTCAGAAACTGGATGAGCGATCATCTGGATAATCCTTATCCAGCCAGCCAGGATCTGCGGCGGCTGCAATCGCAAACCGGCCTCACAAAGCGCCAGATCAGCACGTGGTTCGCAAATGCCAGGAAAAGAACCAGATTCCAACCTGCTCAGACTCCTCTGCCAAGTACAGAAGCAAAATCCTGCTCGATTACTATCCCAAGACGTCCGCGGGCCCCAACACCGGCTCCATTCGAGCATATGAACCCTTTACAGCGTTGGGAACACTCTCCTCCGGAGGTTGAGCCAGCCGATGTAAGCAGTATTGCTCGCGCCGTGAGGGAGTCTTTCGGTCTATATGGTACGAGTATTCAAAGCAGCGGCTCATTTTTATCTGGAGAGGATGAATCAGTTCGGTCCTTCGAGCATGGCTCTTCCATCGGTGGCAGCGCCAACTCACGTTCAAGTCAAGGCTCCGTCATCTCTGGCTCCTCAAGAGGCTCGCTTGGGTCATCATTGAATTCACCTGTGGGCGCTTCACGGCGCCGGCGCCGGCGGAAACGGCAGGACGCCTTGCAAATGGAGGGCCGTCGGACCGTGCTGGTCCCATCTCGGAATACGTTTGCATGCACATTCTGTACCGACTCCTTCAAGACCAAGTATGATTGGAGACGACATGAAAAATCCATGCATATATCTCTTGATAGCTGGGTATGCTCTCCTACCGGACCGGTGGCCACTGGACCTAGGCAAGTTGTGGCATCCTGCGTCTACTGCGGACTGGAGAGCCCAGACGAACCGCATCTTGCGGGTCATAACTATGCCGCCTGCTTCGGGAGGTCTTCAGAGGAGCGGACGTTCCACCGAAAAGACCACTTGCAGCAGCATCTAAGACTGGTACATGGGTCAAAATTCATGCCATGGCCGATGGAGGGCTGGAAGAAGGAAGCAAATCAGATCCAGTCGCGATGCGGCTTCTGTGATGCCACGTTGTTCTCCTGGGAGGATCGAGTTGACCACCTGGCTCGGCATTTCAAACGGGATGGAAAGACTATGGCGGACTGGAAGGGAGACTGGGGATTCCAACCGCATGTACTGGAGATAGTTGAGAATGCGATGCCTCCCTGTAAGTTGGATTGTCTCTTTAACACACTTGCATTGGACCAAGTCTCATCTAAATTGGTGAACAGATCTGATTCATCTCGAAAGCGCATCACCTTATCCATTTACCGCCGGAAAAGGGTCGCCTGAGTCTCCGACAAGCGCATATGAACTACTCAAAGCCGAAATCCAGTACTTCATATTAGATTACCTTGATGGAAACGGCTCGATGCCAACGGACGAAGAGCTACTATACCAGGGGTGCTGTGTGATATTCGATTCAGACCTTTTGATACCAGATGAGCTTGTGTCTTCCTCTGCATCATGGCTTCGGGATCTTTTCCTCTCCTCAGACGAGATTTCTCGAAGAGCTCAGACTCGACTGATCAAGGGCAAGCAGAAGCCACGGCTCACTCCCCTGAAAATCGCTGGGAAGGCAACGATATTCCAGGACTGCCTTCTAGAATTACAGCTACATAATTTCGTACAGCAGCAGAAAAGCCGGGACTTGGTCCTCGAAGATGAGTCTCTACAAAAGGAGGCATGCAACATCGTTGAGAACGCGGAAGCGCTCTCGCCGGCGCCCTCCAACATCTTCAAACATTTCCTACAGAGGGCTATTGTTGGATCAAGTAGGTGGATCGACCCGTTCAGAGCCCGTTCCTTGGCCCTGGTAATGGACGAGGGCCTGAACAGCCTTGAGCTTGGCCCAATCCCGCTCGAGATGTCCACAAGTGCGAGACCTGGTGCGGAAGATCTCCATCTGAATCATTTCGAGTCTCACAACCAAGTGAGGCTGCCGTCAGACGGCTCAAGCGCGCCTCGTAAAACCCCCAAACCGTCGCCAGGGAGAGCCAAGTCCCGCCCCGAGGAGCAGATCGCAGGCCATGACGACGACGTGTGGTTGACGTCCATGCCCTTCTTCCTCAGTGGCGAGAATTCCTACCTGCGCCTGTCAAAAGATCTGTCTCGATTTGTGGCCGCGTCAGTCTCGTCGCACAACCCGAAGCGCCATGTCCCAACGGACGAGGAGCTGAGGCACCAAGCTCGATGGATCGTTTATGATGAGTACGTAGACACTCTCCCCGTTTGCTCAGTACTTTTGACGTTGGCTTTGGTAAGGTTCACGCTTGGGGTGGAGAGTCCGCTAACGCAGCCGTGCCTCTAGTGACGACCCATGGAACCAAACACCGGCTGACAACGCTGTGTGGCTGCGTGAGTTCAAGCGCAGCATTGGCCTGCCTACAGATGACGGTGCGCGGTCCGAGGGTCTGGTCTAGAGCGGGAAACCGAGACAAGACCTCCCGGCCATCACCACCAAGGACGGCGCGGGTGTTGGGAAATATGGCTGAAACAAGTAATTGGACTATGATGAGGTGCGCTGGGCAAGGGAGCGAGCGACTTGGGCACATTGGGGTCATGGCCACAGGTTTGTTTTATTAAGCGGCTGCCTAGTGTTAGTCACATAATCATGCTGCAGTGGACAGCTGCACCAATGCCGGGCGGCCTTGGCGATGGCGTCCACGGCGGTTTTACCGATCGATGGGTAGACGCTTGCTAGTAATACGATGCGCATGACTGCATGCTCCTTAGTAGCAGCCACGGATGCGCTAGCCGTCGTGATTGAACCTCTCCATCCAGGTGTTCATATGAGGCAGCCAACTTGTGCGACCCCTGTGGCAGCTGGTGGGCGCGAGCAAGTGACGTGGACCATAGGGTAGACCGTAATAGTGGGCACTAGCATTTCGCGAGCAACGGCATGGCCATCCCATCCCTAGTCGGTACCTCCGGTCATCGGTAGCCAGGGGGAACAATCCTAATTCTGGTGGGAAGGCTTGCAAATGAAACAATCTCCTAGATTTGGACAGAGGGAAAGGCGGAGGGGGGGCGCGCGGGCGGTGATGTGCCGACTATTGCCCCGTCCAGCGCCAGCCCAGCCTAAAGCGAGATACGCGCTTGACCACAAGTCTAGACGATGATGGAACAATCCTCCCAAGTCCCAGAGCCCTACGAGGCGCGAGACACTCACATGTGTTGGGGTTGCTCTCAGGGCGAGGGTGGCAGGAAACCTACCTCCATTGTGTCCATTGACTGCATCAACCGTTGGCCCCTGGTCGGAATCTGGCGGCTTGGCGAGGGTAAAGAGCGAACAAAAAGCAGCGCACGGGAGACTAGACGGCGGCCAGGGTGGGTGCGATAGGATGGGTGGACGCACGGGGTGGTGAGGTGTGTCATGATTATTACTGCTTCCAGCGGGCAGAGGTTGCGCTCGAATGACCAGTCTCGCTGGTTCGCTGTGCAATGTCGGGTCGGCGTACGAAGGCCCTAATTGTGGCTCTCGGATTTGAGTCAAGGGACTTACTTGGGCGCTGTTTTGCCTGGGGCTGACTGTGCTGATAAGCCGGCCTGGCAGGAAAGGGGAGGAAACTCAGCTCTGCGCAGAGGGAAATCTAATCCATGGGATGGGTCCATCTGGGACAGCGAGCGGGGACTGCAACTCTGGCCGATGGAGGGGGGTACTTGGACGGCATCCGCGGGCAGGAGGAAGCATTTGCAGCGTCAAATGGCCTCTTGTCAGCACCGGAAGGACCCGTCTCCCACTAGCAACCGGCGAGATGGACCATGTGGTGGCCAGGATACGCGGCATCGCATCGCAGCGCATGATGTGTCTGTGTCTGCCATACCGCCTAATTTCGTTCACACGACGAAGGCTACAGGGACAAGATCTGGGGAAGAAGCCGCTACTCCACGTACAACTTTAACGATGCTGCCATGGCTGGATGCGGCATGGCGCAGATTCAGGCCCTTCGAAGCTGGGGCACCGCGCATCCAGCCAATGGCAGCCCGCCAGCCTGCAGATCGCTGTCCATTTTTCTGCCCCAGCTCGTCTGGTTCCTCGCTGCTCCCCCTTCCCTGGCCCCGTTTCCTTCTTGAGTCCACTACGAGATTCCTTCCCTCGCCCGCTCCGGCATTGATCGTCGTCGCCTGCTGGAAGACGGGACTGGTCCTTGGCACTCCTACGGCCAACATCTCGAATCTCTCTCATGTCTGTACTGGATTGGATGCATGTGCATGTGCCTCGTCCCACAAAGCGTCTCGAGTCCCAACGCTCCCCCGTTTGTGCACGTAAGATTCAACGTTGTGCTAGAGCGAGATCAGGTGCAGCCAACCCAGCCAGCCTGTTAGTCAGTTGCGCGTCCGCACGAGCTGAACTGCCCTGGCCTTGGGTAATTTCTTGCCGTCTTATTTTTTTCTTCTTCCTTGCCCGTACCGTTCAAGGAATCTGCCGAGGCGTGCGTCCGGTACCTCTCTGTCTCGTGTATCCCGTCTCGTCTAGCGGGTGCTAGTTCCTGTAAAGCGCTTGATCTCAGGCAACCGACGAGCACTAAGCGTCCTCTCTAGTGGGTGGCCGGTACCCTGATCCTGATCCCCCTCTTTCCTCCCCCGAACGTAACCCGCCCATGCGAATGCAGCGCCGTCCCCATGCCAAGCAAGTCACTAATGGGAGTTACATTGCCTCCCTGCCTAGACCTCCGTCCACCACCCGCTTTTTGCGAACGCCCTTCTCCACTGGCTGCCCTGCCATTCTCCTTCACCTCACACCACATCAATCAACGCATTTGCTTCACCGACGACGTCACGGCGACCACGACGATTGCATCGCTCCCGCGTCCCCGCCGATAATAGAAACATCGATTTCCTCCGAACGACCCTTCCCTCACCGAACCGTGGATTGACGTCCGAAACTCCGACACCATGGCGATAGCCATGGGCTGGCAGAAGCCCGACAATGTCGCAGGCACGTCAGCGCCAGCCATCATGGTAGGCCTCTTCGTTGCCACGGGAGGCATACTTTTTGGATACGATACTGGGTAAGTTCACTTGAAAACTACCATTCTATCTCCACGCCCGCCCTCGTCTCGACGGTTCTGCGGCTGCCTCCAATTCATCGGACTCGGACTCGAGCCTCGAAGCCACGACCAACTACCCACCAATCGACGCCCAATTGAAACCAGATGGAATGGACTCGGGAAAAACACAAAATACAATGGAAAAATAATAGGAAATGAGACGGAACATAATTCTACGCTTTTTTTCCCAATTCGCGGAGGGTGGTCTGTGTGGAACGAAAAATCAACCTCCGCTTCGTGATTGTTTGAACGGGTAGGGGCAATTTGGCTGACACTCTTTTCTTGTAGCGCGATCAACGGGATTCTTGCTATGCGTGCATTCAAAGACCAATTCGGAACCAACTGTTACGACAGTAAAAACCAGCTCGATATCTGCCCCGAAGATTCATCGATAATCGTCGCGATTCTCAGTGCTGGTACGGCTGTCGGTGCACTACTTGCCGCACCTGCCGGCGACAATATTGGCCGCCGTCGGACTCTCCTGATGGCTGTTGGAATATTCTGTGCTGGTGCTATTTGCCAAGTTTGCGCGCAGGCAACACCTCTGATGCTCGTGGGAAGGTAACGCTCGCCTCGCCGTGAAGTGGAAAATTCATTCTTGCTTGGGAAGAGTGATGCTGACTCAGGGTCATAGGTTCCTAGCTGGGGTTGGTGTAGGAATGATCTCCGTGCTCGTCCCGTTATATCAGTCCGAAATGGCCCCTAGATGGATAAGAGGAACTCTTGTCTGCGCGTATCAACTCTCGATCACAATTGGACTATTATCGGCATCCATCGTCAATGTCATTACGGCTAATATGAAAGACTCTTCCGCCTACCGGATCCCCCTGGGACTTCAGCTTTTCCCCGCTCTCATCCTCACTGGCGGTCTCATGTTTCTCCCAGAAACACCTCGATATTTGGTGATGAAGGGAGAATACGAGCTGGCTGGCATTTCTCTGAGCCGACTACGACGCTTGGATATCACCCACCCTGTCCTTGTTGAAGAGCTAGCGGAAATCAAGGCCAACCATGCATACGAATTATCTCTGGGTTCAAATAGTTATAAGGACCTTCTATTCGGAACGCCACATCTCGGTCGTCGTACTATTACTGGCTGCACCACCCAGATCCTGCAACAGCTTTCCGGCATCAACTTCATCATGTATTACAGCACGACCTTCTACGATGGCGCTGGCGTCCAGAGCCCCTACACCAAATCTCTCATTAACAACGTTATCAACGTTGTTGCGACCATTCCTGGATTGTTAGTGATTGAAACTTGGGGCCGACGCAAGCTGTTGATGATTGGATCTATCGGGATGGCCACTTGCCAGCTCTTCATTGCCACATTCTCCACCGCCGCAGGCCACGATTTACAAGAGGCTGCACAATTGATCCTCGTGGTGTTCTGTGCGATAAACATCTTTTTCTTCGCTGCTTCATGGGGTCCCGTTGCCTGGGTGGTTACCTCGGAAATTTACCCCCTCAAGATTCGTGCCAAGGCCATTTCTGTTTCAACAGCTTCGAATTGGCTCTTCAACTTCGGGATCGCCTACAGTACCCCCTTCATGGTGGGCACTGCCCCACGTTATGCAGACTTTGGGCCAAAGATTTTCTTTATCTGGGGTGCTTTTTGCATACTGTCTGTTTTCTTTGTTTGGAGCATGGTGTACGAGACGAGCAAGATGTCTCTCGAACAGATTGATGAGATGTATGAGCGCATTGATCATGCCTGGAACAGCAAGAATTTTGAGCCCAATTGGAGCTTTCAACAAATCGTCCACGAAGGATTGACGACGGGTGCGCAGACCACTGCACCTCACGAACTCCAATCAACAACATCACAAACCAGTGCCGACACAACTTTGGGAGACACTGAATCTTCCGGAGCTACTCAAAACAGCGAGACGAACAACGGCTCTTCATCCAGTCAGGACAAAGCCCAACCAGTAATGGCGCATGTTGATTTCACATATTAACCCACCCAGAGCATGTCTTTATATATATCCCTTATTATTGCTCGAGCACTTCTCTCTCGCTCTCTCTTTCCCCAGTTCGCATGAAGTGGAATTATTGATTGGAATCTCAGCGTCGGAGTTGGTGCTAAAATGGAGTTCTGGTACTTGCTACCCATCTATTTTTATTTTTTGTGATTTTTTTTTCTATTTCTTCTCTTTTTTGGGTAACCTAGGGCGGCGACTATCAGTCAGATATGGACAATAAGTGTCTGTTTATGAAGCTTTGAACACCGAGACCCATCTCGGCAGATACTGAATTTAAGGGAACATGGATAACGTTGGATACCCTGGAAAGAGGGAGGCGCTTAATGTAGTTGATTGCATCCTCTTCATATGAGGATTGCAACAACGGATTAAATAGGATCATGGAAAACGGGTACGGTCTGGACTGGGGGTGGAGTAGTCCCAAGAGGATCGTTAATGTCTTTGATTCCGCAAAGCTCAATTGTGTCATCTTGGCTTGTGTAACGAACGAATCCATTAGGGTCGCAATTATTCAATACATCAGACTCGAATCAAGGCTCGTCTATCTACCACCAAGTAACCACATCTCGCTACCAACCCACGTGCCAAGAATGAGGTGTTATGTCACTCGATAGATGACAATGAAAAGACGTTGAGCGCTGTCCATGCTTTCTCCAAGTCTGCTTTGACCATCTGGCGTGTATAGTTGACAGCCCGTTTCCACATTGCGGAGTTTGTATAGACGAGCTATCTGGTTTGTGACAAGGCCGTGCGGCGCATTTTGGTTGGGAGCTAAGGGAGATTTCCGTGCTCATGAACAGGATTGCATACTCATGCTGCGCTGGGGGGTCTCTTGGTCAAGTGTTCAACTCAGATCCCTTCTCAGTATAAAATTTTCCTACTGCCAAGCCTGGAACTTGCCGATATCTCTCCTCTTCAACGTATTCACATCGGATTGCTCTGAAGTTTTGACACTCACATTGTGGATTCCATTTCAACGACAACGAAACAAGCCAAGCAAAAGAAGAGCATGACTGGCTTCCAGTTTTTACACACGATGAATACCTCCCGCGAGCCCCCTCGGCCTCGTTACCGGGACCAATGTTCTCGAGGCGCTTCATATCGCAATCCACCCGAATACCAGCCAGACGATGTTTACTTTGTGAGAGACGGTGATAGACGCTCCAACTCCAACACGCCGCTGAAGCGCATGCCCAGGGTAAAGAAAGGAAGATCAGGGCAGTCGCGCGGCGATGACTACTGGCAGAACCAACCCGCCGATGACTACCAGCGAGGAGAGTTGGACCATGATTTTCAGTTTCCTACGGAGCCGCCCCGTGAGCGGATCCAGATAAAGAATACTCCACGCCATCGACTCGAGGCCGGAGCTATAGGCAGGCCGTGGTCTTGGATAGACACCGAGGGGATCACTGTTGAGGTGACCAGTCTGCCTGAGTCCGATGCCGAACTGGTTGATGTACCGCGAATGGACCCCATGGCAGAGTCTAACCCTGAGGAAGATGGCATGCAGTTGAATCTCGTGCCGGTCACGGATGCAGAGCTTCTACTTCTGAAAGATTTTCGGAAGTTCAAGGACCGACAGCGCAAAAACATGTATCAACGCGCTGATACCGCTGTAAGGCCTCACGGGTCGCTGCAAGGCAGCTCCGTATCCGCGTTCTACGATTCCGTCATGGACCGAGCAGATGGATCAAGTGGTACAAGCAGTCCTGTACCTCGCATATCTAGCGAGCGCAGAAGCCGGCAGGCTCCCAAACCAAAAGAACCGATCAGCAGAAACAGCAGCTCGTCGAGCAGGAGCAGTCTGAGGAGCTTGACGGCTCGGATGCTCCACCTGTTTTGATTCGCAGTGCCTAGGATGGCGTGTCTTTCATTTTAGCCGCGATGGCTACTTTTTTTCATTTGTTTAGCGATGTTTAGCGCTGATTTCCCTCCTTAGAGATTGACACCCGATGGGTTTCCTTTGTTTAGCGATATCTGGCGCTTATTCCTTTCATTAGAGACAATACTAGACCTGTTCCCTTTGTTCAACGATGTTGAGAGCTCACTCCTCCCCTTAACGTTTATACCAGGTGAATTTTTGAAAATATAGCAATGCTCTTTGACTTGAGATTCATTACTCAACTAGAAATTCGCTTTTGCAAGTGGAATACGCCGACACGGTTATGATGTGCATAGGGGCAACATGCTCTGGCCCTATCTCTTACCGCCTTGATCCTAGTCGTTGTAATTGAATTTAACCCGTAAGCGGAAAAACTTTGTGACTACCTCTTAAAAGCTTCCGTCCCAGATGTCAAGAGCCGAGTATTGAGAGATGAAAGAGGAATTATGAAAGAGTGCTCACTGAGCACCTCGTCCTGCCTGAGCCTTTTCCGTACGCTTCCATCTAGCTGTGATACCACTGCATTTACCATATTACGCAGAGATGAATAAACGTAGTAAAGGGGCATCCACAAGCTTTAGTATATCAATCAAACAAGTTCATAAACGAGTGAGGTCACATGAGATTTGCTAGGGAGGAGGAGGGTGTCGACACGGGCATTCGTAAGCTAGCCCTCTGAAAAGTCCAGTGTTTAACATTTTATCAACAAGGATAGTGCTAATATATTTGTGTTTTATAATAAGACTCCTAGTTTTGAAAGTTGTGTAGAAACTAAATGGTGAAGTCTGAACCAGCTTTGTGGGAACTTGGCTGGGTCGAATAGCACGGTCTGAATAGCGAAGAGCCATAATTGATTTGCATCTTATGGGGCATCAATCTTACCTGCGGTTTATTTTGATGTCTCTGCGTGTGCTTATCTCTCCTTGATTTAACACAGAATTTGAGGAGGAAGGTTGGTGTCCTGGATCGAGGTGATAAGGTCCAAGAGGGGGATAGCCGCTACTGTCCAGGTGCATTATCCGATGCCCGACGATGACCAGTGGCACCGAACTGAATTGCGGAACATAGCCGCAAGTTCATGATAAGGCCGTCTGGTGTGGTGGATGACACCCCACAGCGTTTAGAGATAACATGCGGCCATCCAGGATCTGGGATCCTTGGTATCTGCTCCCACATATGAATCGGTGCTGTGACTTGTCCCTCTTGGTTCAAGGTGTTAGACAAGGACTGACAACCCCGATCGAATGCGGGGAAGGAGGCCAATCAGCCAAGTGGATTGACAGATGGCAGATAACCAACTTGACCAAAGATTGCCGACTAACGAGTGTAACTTGTAACTTGGTGTGCAATCGGCATCTCGGTGCGCTTCTGCTTATCAGGGCTCGCTTATCGGATATGAGTAGACCTCGTCCTTGCCCATTCATCGATCCTCCCCCAGTCGCATGCCATCGCCCATCTATCTCTCTTTGCCTCACCAGTGATGTTCTGTCTTGTCTGTAAGAATGCCTCGTCCAAAGGTCCCGGCGCACCAGCGACAGAGAGTGGCCGAGGCTTGTAACCATTGCCGCGAGACCAAGAGGCGGTGCACTGGCTCGCCGCCGTGTACTCAATGCCTCCGCCGTGGACTCGCCCAGCAGTGTTTTGTCACATATGCGCCCCGTGGCTCCAGAGCAAGGGCGAGGAGGCAGCTTGGCGCCGCTGTCGATTCCTCATCGCAGATCCCACAGAGGATGTCGGTTTCCGCCCCATCTGCAGGTGTCGTAGCCTCGTCGGAAGGGGACGAGACCGACTCTCCCAACCAGGCCTCGCAGAGAAGATTGTCGCTGGTCGGTTCGTCAGACTTTCAGCCCTTGTCGCCGTCTGATTCTCGCCCTGACTCCGATGCTGGGGCATCTCCCTCCATGGTTCACACGTCGCGAATGCTATTGAACCTTCGTGGCGAGAGAGGTACTGTGATAGCGCATGCCATTGCAAGTAATTGTGTATGTACTAACCTGATCATCTTCCAGTCTTCATCGGCGGTGCTGCGTCAATATCCTTTCTTCAAACGGTGCGCGGGTTGGTGGCAGAGCAAATTGGGCCCTCGCCATTCTCACATAATGAAAAGAGCGAGACAATGCTGGAAGTCGAATCTCCCCGAACAATTAGGGACCCTGAGCCAGATACTCGTGACCCTGAATTGTCGGAGGAGCAGAGATTGAAGTACATGCGATGTTATTACGCAGTGGTAAGGGACTTGCGACCAGCATACAGCCGACCCACTAACAGATGCGCAGACAGAAGGTTTCCTCCATGTATTTGACACGACAGATCTTGAGGATTTGATAAAATCCAATGGAAAAGGGCCTAATCAGGATTCAAGAACGAAGGCTCCTCTAAGACAAGCCGCAGCTGATCTTGTCATTGCCATTGGCGCCCAGTCTGAATCTGCCTCAACCGCAAGGTCGGTAGGCCAAAAGTACTTTACCAAGGCACGTGAGCGTGCTTTCGCTTCCTTCCTCGAGGACCCTGATCTAGACATGGCCAGGACCTTTCTCCTCATGGCCTTTTATATGCTCGGTGAATGCAGAAGGAATTCGGCGTTCATGTACCTGGGCATCGCTGTGAAGGCGGCTTTAGCGCTTGGGTTACATAGTCGAGCATCGTTTGGACAGAAGCCAGGGCCCATGGACTTGGTAAGGTAGGTTTCAGGAAATTTGATGAATACTCCTACCCCAAGATTCGTATCAGAGATCTTACTTGCTCATGCAGACTCCGCGTATGGTTGAGCATATGCGTCGTTGACAAGATCGTTAATTCGATCCTCGGACGACCCTCTACCACCGCCAGAATCGATTCAAATAGCGAATCCCTTCTCCAAGACGTCAACGAGTCTCTCGACGGTACGATAGACTGGTTAGTAGCATCAAATAGCATTGTGACCATCATCAACGAAGCCAAAGACAAGATCTATGATCAAAAGGATATCACAACTTCCGTCATTGAGAATCTTCTCCAAGCAATTGATCGTTGGAAATGGAATTTACCGGAGTCTGTCGGCGGTATGAGCTTGACAGGAAATCAACAGTCTGGGGCCACGCAAAGCGGTGTCATCGCCAAGGTGCACATTTCATGCCTCTACTATTTTGCTGTTACGCTAGTTACCCGGCCCATTTTGATGTCAACCCTTGCGTCGCAGTCGCCGAACGAAAATGTTCCATCTCAGTTGGCCACGGCTTGCCTTGATGCGGCGATGTACCTATCCCAAACATGTCTTGAAGCACTAAACGCTGGCCTGCTTCAGGGAAACATGTGTATCATGAAGTAAGTCTTCCCTCCTTCCATTTATTGACTACTTATATCTGACAATCGCTCTCAGGGCTCTTGTATTTGCCGCCGGACTGGTTCTTGGGTTTGAAGTTTTTGCCAAGAGATCGGTGGAGAAGGAGATCGAAGGGGCTTTCCACGACTCCAAAGAAGTACTGAAGTTTCTATCTGTGCAGAGCCCCCAGGCAGCTCATTATCTGGAGATTCTGTCGTCTCTGTCCAGCGCTATCTCCAGAAGACGGTCGAGCGAACCCGGTACTAGAAAGAGCCGATATGTTTCCAAGCTCTTCAGCCTAGCCTCCTCGCCAGCGAACCCGGAAGCGCAGCCCCAAGACGAGGAGATTTATTCAAACCAAACTCTGTTCGGCACACCTCGTCTGGAAGACACCAACTGGTCGTTCCCTGAAATAGACAGTGGTGAGCTCAATCTGGATTGGGAGAGCCTGAATATTTCTCAGTGGGACAGTTTTCCCTTTGTCTAATTGGATTGGCGGAAGCGGGATATGTATTAAGGCTTTGGGCCATCTTTTGTATGAATACTCTAGCTACTGATGGTTCCGAACTTGGTCTCAATTGACAATGAATCGTCTTATGGATATGCGATTCTCATCATTCTTACTGCGGCCCGCAACCTGCGTTCACAAACCTGCATGCCGAATCGATAGGGATTTCTTACACTTTCGTACGATCAATAATCGAAATCATATCATTGAATACTTAGAGATGCTCGTCGGGGCTCTTGGTATTGTGTTGGTGTGCATTATCCGGCACTAGCGGATATGAACGGCCTCATTAGACGACTTATCGACAACACCAACTTGCCCACCTCCTTCTTAGCGATAGCAGCATGCGGATATGTTCTTGGTCCGGAGATGTTCTTATCTCTGGAAGTTGATGGTGGCGTTAGGCTGGTGGGTGGGTGATGACGGTGAAAATGCTTCACGGCATCGAGGATATATGAGTGTTCTACTCCCACTTGGGCCTGCATTCAGCTTGCTCTACACACCAAGATATCAATCATTCATCATCTCTATATTCTAAACTTCCGAAGTCTAGAATAACCCTCTCCATCCTCACAAAGAAATCTTACACAAAAATGTCTTGGAGACCTCTCAGCGTCGGCGTCGTCGGCGGTGGCATCGGCGGCATGTCCGTCGCCATCGCCCTCCGCCGCGCCGGCCACGACGTGACCATCTACGAGAGGTCCGACTACGCGGGCGAGGTGGGCGCCTCGGTCTCCTGCGCCGCCAACGGGACGCGGTGGCTCCACGAGTGGGACGTGGACGTGGCCAAGGGCGACCCGGTCGTGCTGAAGAAGCTCATCAACCGCGACTGGAAGACTGGCGAGCCCGTCAGCGTCTACGACCTGGCGGACTACGAGGAGAGGTGGGGGTACGTGTATAACATGTTCCACCGGCAGTATATGCACTCGATGCTGAAGGACTCCGCCATGGGGGAGGGCGAGGGCCAGCCTGCGAAGCTCCTGGTTAACCACAAGGTTGGTCGAAGCATGGCCCTGAAATGTGGGGATCATAATACTAAACTGCCCTTTAGTGCCTTGAAATCGATCTATCAACGAATATCATTACCTTTGACAATGGAGTCACTGCAAGGCACGATCTCATTATCGGGGCTGACGGTATTGGGTCGGCTGTCCGAAGAATCATCG